AGCAGGAATGAGATGCCTGAATTTTAATGCCTAATATGATCTTTGGAAGACTATAAACTTTTAATAGACTTTAAACATAAAGTGAGGGAAAAGATAAATAGAAAAGTCTGTGGTTTGATCCCAGGAAATCCTGATTAATTGTCCTCAGATTGTGTCAGACCATCCAGAATATTTTCTGAAAACAATTGGTTCATTTTATTGCCAAATAAATTGTAATCGATGTTACCAACTTCTAACCAAATAAAAATCTAAATGAGTGAGAAGAGACACAAAAACATAATTTCCTTATGTGAGATAGCATCTAGGACATATCTCATTTTATTTCTTCTCTGTGCTATTTATTCCTGTTAGTTTTGTGTGATAAACACAAGAGGTTTAAGATGACAAAGATTTTATTTCAGATTGTCCCTCCTTTGAATCGTTCTTGAGTAACCATAAATTAACATAAGATCAGAAATATTCAACATTGCCTTTCATATCTCAAGGGCAAAATACTGACTACTTTCAGTGGTGTACAAGCACAGAATTTAAGGCCTCCTTAGAAGGAGCACTCTCTTCTGCAGTATCATCATTAGCAATGTTTCCTGTGTGATTTCAAATTTTTGTTCTCTATTCAAATGTTTTCAATAAAATTAGACATTTTAATATTTATATCTCTTTATATAAATCAGTCTTGAAACCCTGAACAAAATGGACATGGGCTTTACAATCAGAAGAAAAAGAAAAAATTACTTAGGCATTAATACTGTGCAAAGGTTTAAATCACATATAATTTGTTAATATCCCTTTGATTTCTTTTTAAAAATAAAAAAATAAAAATTTTTGTTACATAAAAGCAAAGCAAAAAACATATCTCTTGATGTGACAAAATACTATGAATTTTTTGTCTAAAATTGTGTCTTCTCTAGAGCAGGGAAGAAAACAAAATAGTTTTAGAAATTAGTTGGTATTGCCACAATATACGCAACCCCCTGAGCTGTGCCTTTTAAATCAGCATTCTGCTGTTAAATAATAAAAGAAAAGTCCCATTATTTTCCGAGCTTCACTTTGCTTTAAGTGATTGATGTAGAATTTTACTGCCATCCAATGGCAGCCACCTAATATAGCTCAAGTAAATGTCTAAAGCTTTTTGATCAAATTGCAGTCTAGGGAATTTAACTTATGTAGTACATTCTGAACTTACATCAATACATCTCTGTTTGTTACACAGTGAGAAAGAAATACGACTACAGTTTCAATTTATTGTTCATTCTCCAAATTCAATTTAACAGTGAATTACTAATATTGCTGAACATAATTACCTAAATGAATAAATCAACCTAGGCTACTCACTAGAGAGAACATTAGAGCATAATATTAATTTTTACATGCACCTCATCATATTAGTTTAAAAGGTTTCTTTTTACAACTAACAGTCTTTTCCTACCAGGCAAAATAGCCTTTATTAAAAGACTGTTCTCAGCTTTACTTCTGTTATTTGGAAGGCATTTGAATATTTTTACCTGCTACTGTACATCATATAATTTCTGATTAACATTAAATTGCATACTGTTTTAATTACAATCTTCTTTCCTAAATGATTGAGTATTTAGATCATTTCTCAAAAAGGCAAAATAAAAATTATGTCTGATTGATATGAATGAGTTTGTGCTTAAAATATTCAAGCTTAGTTATTTAAAATTCCTGATTTGAGTTAGAAGAGTTTATAGGTAATAACCTAATTTTACTTTTCATTAACGTTAACTAAAATATAATATATTTGAAATTATAGGTAATTGCTATGACAAAATTATTTTATTTCAATAAAACTTCATGAAAAGTATATTTTTATGATTTATTTATATATAAATGACATTTTGCCAAAATATTAAGTTTAATTCAGTAAATAATTATTTTAAATACAGAAAAATTCAGATAAGCTATCTGGCCTATAATATGAAAAGTCTTTCCAATGTTATTTTATTCAGCTGAATTTTTAAGTGTGTGTGTGTGTGTGTGTGTGTGTGTGTGTGTGTGTGTGTTTGTGTGTGTAAAAATAGCCTCAGGCTTGAAATACATTTTGTGCTCTTGAACATCTGAGACCAATAATTCAATGGAATTGAAACACAATAACATATTTATTTTAACTTATTTTAAATTAGAATATTTAATTCAAACTTTCTTTTTTCAGTTAAAACCTCACATATTATTGTTTTTCTAAAAGATTCCCAAATTAAATCCAAAACATTTTCTTAGAAAAATTCAGACAAGACTTCATACTGTGAAAGATTTTGTAAAGGAGCTTAAAACAATTGTAGGAATTTTGAATGGAAAGAGGTAAACAGACCATTTGCTGATGTTAGATGGAATTTAAAGACTAGATGTATACAGAATAAAGGAAGAGGTGGCCATGCCTTTGTGCCTATAGTAAATTTGATTTTTGTTTCACATATTTAAAAATTACACCATCATTTAAATCCTCCTTTCTAACCAGATGATTTTGGTATAAGATCCTGGAATCTCAGTTTTAATAATGTTTATGAAAGAAGTCTAAATTTCACTCTACCTCATCTCCCTTATTTATAGATTAGAAACTAAACTTCAAATAATGTCAATAGAAAAATCAGTTGCATCTCTCCCCTTGCTATCTCTCCCCAGCTCCCCACCCCCCACCGTCCCTCCCCTGTTTCCCCCCAACTGACCCCAGTGTGTACTGCTCCCCTCCCTGATGGGGAGGAAGGCAGCAAATCACACTGCCATGTGTGTACCTATGCAACAATCTTGCATGTTCTTCACATGTACCCCCAAACCTAAAATGCAATAAAATAAATAAATGGGGGAAAAAAAAAAGAAAAATCAGTTGCTTAGTTTGAGATAAACTAAATCTCATCAAAAGTTTAATTCTACCTATACTATATTTTGTGATATATATTTAAATAGTATGAACTTATATATGCATATATATACTATAACATGTTGCTTTTAGAAAGTTGTATATTTGACCTCATTATTAAATTTAAAAAATCAGTTTCCAGTTATAAATCATGTTTTTAAAGCCTCAATTATATTTTCTTCACTTAACTGATATTACTCTACGAATTATAAGTGAAGGATATTTTTCTTTGCTTCCAATCATCTTGTCTAATATGCACAATTAGTATTTTCTCCACCTACACGTGTATTCAAGCAATTAAACTAAAATGTAACAGAATCTGAAATTTTACTACCTAAAACTCACTGTGAAGAAATTTTCATTGATATATTTCTTTCAATTCCTCTCATTTTCTTATCCAATGTAACAAATGAGGTAAGTTAATTTCTTTATTCTACGTTTACTATAGAGAGATTTTAAATATTTCAATTACCTGAAGCATCTTATTGTAAAATGATTTTAGTTTCCTTTTTATTAACAAGAATATTAAGGAATATTTAATTATTATTTGCAATGTGTTCATTCACTATGACTTAGAGAATTATATCTTTTTAAATCTCAGATATTAAGAAATACAATAATTTCAACTCACTTTTTTTTGCTTAATGTGATAAAAGACTGATGATAATTTGTTTAGAAAAATGTTTAATGTTCTTATGACTGTTGTCAATATCAAAGCTACACACATCTATATTTCAAATTAAGTCTTAAATCTAACTTTAGGAAACACAAATTTTAATGTGAAACTAGTAAGAGGTTAATGTATGATAATTTTCTTGCTTATTAATTTTAATGCCTACCTTTATGAAGTATATTTTGTGGTGCCTTTTTCAACATAGAGAACAAAGTAGGCCAAAAAAAAAAATGCACCTATGCCAAAAGATAGAAATGGGTAATCTTCTAAGCTGTACATCTTTGATGAATATAATCAACAACATATTTAAAAATTTGCTTTTTGGTTGAATAAGCAAACCTATACTCTTATATTTGCATTAAATTTTAGATAATTATTTGGAATGAATTCTGTTTACATTAAAGTTGTGATTAGTTATATCCTTCTGTTTGATTCCTTCCCTGAAAAGAAAAATTAAACCATGGGTAACACAATTCCTATGCCATGACAGAAGTTCCCACAGCTTTCCAATTTCATCAGAAATGGAGGAACCCTTTATGTTTCTGCAAGACAGCATTGCTGAAGGCTTATGCCAGCCGTCTAATAAAATGATAGCTATTTTGAGTTAAGCATACTAATATCAAATCCTATCAAACTAAAGAATTTCAGAAGCACGGAGTATGGTCTTTCTTCCCCCAAAGACAGCATCAAAATCTGATCAAGATAAAAGCAAAAACTTCTGATGAATATACACTACATGATTAAAACCGTAAGTCCCTATGGTTTAAACCTTGAAGACATTTTAATTATCTATTTAACATCTTGCTATTTCTGGAATTCTGACTGAGAATGTTTCTGACATAGTATTTCATGGAATGTCCTTCTCTCATACTGAGCCGCTTTTATACTCCAGATGTAAACACAAAAGCTTGCCTTTCATCTTTTTAAACTCCATCACATAAAAGGAAAGGTAAAAACCCTAAAAACCACTTTTTCAGTGAGTCTCCTATATAGATTACATAGTCTCCTGTACAGATTATAAAACTAATACATTTCTCTGAAATATGGAAATCTAACAAGTTTTCTTAATTTTTTGTACTTGTTTAAGAGTAAGTTTAACAATTCTTCATCATGATTGAAATTTATTTCTTTCAGAGGGAGAAGAAAGTGAACAGCACTTTAGATATAATATACTGAGCTGTTTGCTTCTTTCACAGGAATTGTCATTATTCAAAATTTTCGCTAATTTCTAAATGCTATCAAAGTAACAAGATTATGCTTTAAAATAAACTTTCCCTAAAATTCCAAAGTAGTATTTGCTAAATAAATTTCCACTTAAGACCATTTGTATCAGCTAAGCTTACTTTTGGCTCAACTAAATGCTATGAAAACCTTGGAAGAAAATGTTTTGTACCATGTGATTAAGGGAATTAGTATCACATTTTCAGGCACTTGACAATTAAATTATTCAGTTTTTACAAAGATAGAAGAAAAGGAAAACAACTATGACCAATATTATATTGCTACAGTCTGATTTTCTTTTCACATTTTTGTCATTTCTTTATATTCTTCATAGGTTTAGTTGTATGTCTCTGTGTTTGTTTGTATACCTCTGAATGATTAACTTATGGTTCTCTAAATGTGTATTCATTTTACCTTTGAAAAGATGAGTAGCATATCATGATGCATTTTATATTAGTATACATATCTCAAAACACACATAACTTTTGAATCTATAAAACGTTTTGTATTTGGTTAAAATGTAGGTAATGTCAAGCAATATTTGTTTACAAAATGTGTCTGATTTATAATGGGATTTGGATAAGAAAAGATGCTTTCGTTTGGGTTTGTCAACCTTATGGCCCTGATGGTTACTCAGAGGAGACAGATTTTATCTTAGAAGGGGGTATTTGCTAACTAGGATTGAAAGCATCATGGTGGTGGCATGCTCCCATATTACCACTTGAAATTCATTGCTGGCTGATCTACAGAGCAGCTTTGATTGCAGTTTTACCAAGCCAGATTCCTGCTGTCCTGGCTGCAAGGTTTGTTTTCTTTTGTTTGTAGCAAGAGGGGAGGTAATGCTTGATTTTCTACTTGCCTCTAAACTTTAGAGCTTAATTTTGGCCTAAGAAAGAGGAGAAATTCTTAAAACTGAAGTGTTTCACTTAGCTATATGAAAGTGGGAAAAAAGAAAAAAAAACAGTCCTTGCTGTTTTCTTGTTCATTTTTCATCTGTTAACTGCTGGATTGAAACTTTTTTAAATTTCCTGATAATCTGAATCAAAGTAAGTAAAGTTTCCACATTTGGAAACTAAAAAAGGACTTTCACAAAAGAAAGTAAGACAGAAAAAGAAAATATGGAGGCTCTAATGTTACCATCAAATCAGCGCTAAGTCGCTTGACCTGTTATTCAAGACCCTTCAGCAACTGGTTAGAGTGCCATTCTCTTTTCAGGGCTCAGTTCATGTCCCACTTCCTCTGTGATTTTCTGTACCTTTTCCTTATTTTATTTCCTCTGGCATGAAGGAAATAATGTGGGGCATATAAAATATTGAATAGATTTTGGAAGGAAATATTTAATTGCACAGTAATGTAGAAAACATTGTAAGCTCGGATAAAAATTATATGTGTTAGATTATTAAGAAATTTGAATGAATGATAGTTTAAGGAGGGTTGAGACTTTAAAGTACAAATAAAACTATGCTTTTATAACACACTGTCTCAGCCTCCCAAAGTGCTGGGATAACAGGTGTGTGCCACCACTAAAAATACAAAAATTAGCCAGGTGTGGTGGCACACACCCAGTTGCTTGGGTGGCTGAGGCAGGAGAGTCGCTTGAGCTCAGGAGGTAAAGGTTGCAGTGAGCCAAGATGGTGCCATTGCACTCCATCCTGGGCAACAGAGCAAGACTCCGTCTCAATAATAATAATAATAAATAACGTGCTTGTATTTCACACTTTAGTGTGGCTTGCTTTTAAAAATAGATTACATTTGTTTATGTCAGATGAGATAAATTTCATATATTGTGCATCAACCTATTGATCTCTAAGTTCCCAATGTGCAGTACATGTTCAACAAACTGTTGAACAGACTAAGGAATGAATAAGACTAACTGTAATATTTAGGAAATTTGCAGAACTCAGTATAGCATACATCATTCTAGCAGCTCGTAATAATTCATACTAAAATATTAATGGGTTTTATTTATTGAAATAATTCATTGCAAATAATCTCATTCATTTCAGATACAACACAATTAGTTCAATAATAAAATTATTAGGATAGCATATTATTTTACTAAATATAAGCTTAAGAAATTAAAAATAGTTTCTGTCTTAATTTGTCTTTATAAAATGACTTAGTAGTAAAGGCATTCCTACTTGCAGTTTTCTCTGTAAGAGATTCCAAAAAGGGGATGCATCAATAGTACACATTATAAATATTAGCTGACTGAATTTTTCAAAGATTAAATAAACAAACACTAAGACATGCATGAAAATTTTATAAAGTTATTACTTATTCTTCATTAATCAGCAACAACCTTGATAAGTTAATAGACATAGTTTTCACCAGGTCAGCAGGTGCTTGAGTTGAGTACTCAATGGGATTGATTACATGAAACCATGCCCAACTAAACCTTGAGAAAATGTACACATTATACATAAATAGAAGCTAATGAATGGCCTACTTAGAGATTATTTGACCTCTCTGCTTAGCCATGTTCCTTCATCCCTGTAAGAATGTAAGGCAGGCCAAGTTCTCCTGGGATGTTGGGGGGATAGTCTTTTTGTCCAGACTGGTTCATGTTTTCAGAATTTTTAGTTTCTCAGATCACTCATATGGCTCAGTGATTATGTCTTATCTGGAGTGGTTGTTCTGGGGCAGCAGTTCCCAAACATTTTGGCACCAGGGACTGGTTTTGTGAAAGATAATTTTTCCACCAGTTAGGGTGGGGTGGGGATGGTTTCAGGATGATTCAAGTACATTTATTGTGCACTGTATTTCTATTATTATACCATTGTAATATATAATTAAATAATCATATAACTCACCATAATGTAAAATCAGTGGGAGCCCTGAACTTGTTTTCCTGCAGCTAGATGGTCTCATCTTGGGGTGACAGGACACAGTGACAGGTCATCAGGCATTAGATTCTCATAAGAAGTGCACAACCTAGATCCCTTGCCTATACAGTTCATAATGGTATTTGAGAATCTGGCAGGAAGCAGTAATATGATCTATGAGGAGCAGCTAGTTCCTAACAGGCCATGGACTGGTACCCTGGTCTAAGTTACCTGACTGAATGTCTAGAATTATCAAAGTGTTTAGGGTGGTTAGTGTATCTAGAATAGTGTGTCCAGAAAAGAAGGGGTTATCTATTGAAAATGGTTAGTCTCTGCTATAATCCGTCTATTAAGCTGGGTTGACCTATCTTATGCTTTCTATCCAGACAGCACTTGGTGAATAAATATGAAATGATAACCATGTATACAAAATTAAGTTTTCCGCAATGTTTCAGTTGGATTTGGTTTCATGTGATCACATTATTCTGTCATAGAGTAGTCATAGAATACAATGCTAAGTTGAACCTTGGAGGAAACACACATCACTGCTTTATATAACAAGAAAAAATGAAGTAAATTGTTTGTTTAATGTCTCCTAACTGCTAAAGCCACCAGGATAGTTGCAGCTTGAAAGTTCATCATGGAAAGTATATATTTGAATCTCTCTATATTTATACACTATGAAAATGACTGCCATAAAAATAACAACAGTAATATAAAACATTTCATTAAGCACTCACTGGAAATCAGGTGTCAAAAGTAGTCTCAGAGACAAAATCATTTAGAGAAGAAAATTAATTTATTTGCAGAAAAACTTTCATTGGAGTACAGGTTTTAACAGAACTTGCTCCTAAAATTAAATAAATGAAAATAAACTAGAAATTTAATTTATCAAATTTGTCATGTTTATGGTGGAAAATTAATAACTTTTGAATTATTATCTAAGATATTCTACTATTTCTATACATCAACATTTCGAAGGTCAGGATAATCTCATTTTGTTAGGGAGTCAGTGACTTACAAGACACTCTCAAGGTTTGACTTAATTTGTGGAATAGAACTAGACAAAATGACTCTGTGTTTTGTGTTTTACTTTGTCATTGTTGTTTACTTTAGGGTACAAAGCATTTTTAAAATTTTCCCTTGTACGGAACATGATGTAAACCCTTACTCTTTTAATGGAGCAAGGTGACGTGTTACATTATTTCCTTACAGACGTTGTGCTAGGCACCTTATTCACTTATCTCTAATAATAAGCCCATGATGTTGATAGGGCACTATTTACTCATTGAATTTACAATTACACGGGAGGTGGAATTTAATTTGAGTTAGTAATACATTAGGCTTAGTAAATAATTTAGTAAGCCCCTTGAGAATGATCCAAAATACCAGCACCCACTTGTATCATATGTATGGTCAATATTATTTTCTGTTAGAGACTCATGATGAGATTACAAAGAAATTAGAAACTAATTAAGCACATAGAACTGAAGTTTTCACTCCCTAGTCCATTATATGCATCCTATTACTCCTCCAGGAGCTTCTTAAACTTCACTTTAACAAGCTGAAAAGACATTATGAAGATGAATGTATCAACAGTTCTAATACATGTTTGCATATGATTAACAATGCAAGAATAAAGTACTCTCAGAACTACACTTGGTAGGACGTAGTACTTTTCTTTCTGAGATGTAGCTTCCATGCCTTTTAATTGGTGAATGATAATATAACTTTACATATTTAATTATTCTCAATATTTAAAAAACGGGTTATGAAACAGTCTGAATTAAAATAGGAAATGGGCTGCATTAAGTCAGTTTTACATTTTCTAAATATACAATTAATTAATTTTTTTTTTTTTGAGATGGAGTTTTGCTCTTGTCACCCAGGCTGGCAATGGCACATTCTCTGCTCACTGCAACCTCTGCCTCCTGGGTCCAGGTGATTCTCCTGCCTCAGCCTCCCGAGTACCTGGGATTACAGGCATGCACCAACATGCCCAGCTAATTTTTGTACTATTAGTAGAGTTGGTGTTTCACCATTTTGACCAGGCTGGTCTTGAACTCCTGACCACAGGTGATCCATCTGCCTCAGTCTCCCAAAGTGCTGGGATTACAGATGTTAGCCACTGCACCTGACCTCAATTAATGTTCTTAAACATATTCAATAATGAATCAACTAACAGTATTTTCAAGTAAGATCACCTTTTGTACTTAAGCCAATGAAAGGATCAAATTCACTTTTAATTGGCATCTGTTTGCTCATCAACAATTAGAATGCCAACTTTCTTAAAAATAATTTGTCAGTTAAATAAGGTATAGTGGAACCAGGACTACACTGGCATTGTTCATAAAATAAAAAATTAACTTCAGCTCCTGTCAGATTCAATTACCACATTTTTCTTTTTTATTCATTTGATGAAGGATCACATACACAGGGCAGGAATCTAGGTCTGGAAGTTTAAATTGGAGTGGAGACCAAAGAAAAGTGAGCAGGCTAAATCTTGAAGCTACTAAGTATTGGAATTTCCATTGCCTTTTGAGATGTCTCAAATTTATTCCTCTTTTTCATCCTCACAGCCTCTACTTGAGTTCAAAAGTGCAAGTATCACCTGAAATATACTATCTCTTTTTTTCTTATTGGGTATCTCTCTCCACTCCTAAATGGTCTCTCAGTTCTTTCTACTACTATCATTTTTTTTTTCACACTAACACATGAGTTTTGTTTTTAAAAACAGATAAAATCAAATTTTACTTTCCTTCCTAAAAAGTATGCATTTTTAAACAACAAATGTCTAATTTAAAGTAATTATTCTGCACTTCAACCTAAATTTTTGATCACCAGTGACCTTCCCACTCCATTCCCCACAGACCTACACCTCTTGCTTGGTCCACTTTTTTGTCTTTTTTCCGTGGTCCACAATATCCCATGGTTCTGAACATTCTCTTTTCTCTGCTTAGAATGGAAGTAGAACTCTT